CCTCTGTAAGGGGGGGAGATAAAATAATTTCAAAACCAATAGGACCTCTGAGCATTAGTTCTATATCTGTGAGGAGGTATCTGTGAGGAGGAATTAAGCCCTGCTCCCCCTTCCAGTACACACAGATAACTAGAGATGGGCATTGTTTTATTAAGTCATGAGGGGTGCTGTGAGGTCAGGCTGCATCCAATGCACTTCTAAAGATGTCTCCACTCTGCTCCCCATCCAGCTCAGAGAGCATTCTGGAGCACCTGCTTCTCTGTGATGAGTCTAAACTTGGGTGTCCTTGGACTCAGCTCTCTGCTCTGCAAAGTGGAACACAAAATGCTTGAACCCAAAGCCTAACCCCAGTGTGCAGAGCTAACCCTAGGGGGCCAAGGTCAAGTGAGCTTGGCTGGTATTTGAGATCTGAGGCCTGGTTTGGTTTGTTCTGAACCCAAAGCCTAACCCAGTGTGCAGAGCTAACCCTGGGGGGCCAGGGGAGGTGAGCTTGGCTGGTATTTGAGATCTGAGTCCTGGTTTGGTTTGTTCTGTTTCAGAATTGGTTATCTTTAACCCCTGAGGGGAACGAACAACAGAAACGTGGGTGAAAGAAGGCATCGAACAATGTAAGATATGAAAATAATAATAATTTATAATTTATCAAGGAGTCGTGATGGGGTGGGGGAGGAGAAAAAAGAGGAGCTGATACCAAGGGCTCAACTTAAGTAGAAAGAAAACATTTTGAAAATGATGATGGCAACGTGTGTATAAATGTGCTGGATACAATTGATGCATAGCTTGTTATAAGAGCTGTAAGAGCCCCCAATAAAATGATTTATTAAAACACACACATTTTTTTTCAGCAAAGTATTCAAACCCAGAGCCTCCAGAACGCTTTCCTACACCAAAGAAATGAGCACTGAAGATGAGACCGCTTTAGAATATTCCTGAAGTTAAACACACAAAGCACTGCTCTCTCCTGTGGTGCTCCAAACCTTAGCAAACCACAAACTCCGAACTCACTGCCATCGAGTCCATGCTGACTCATAGCGACCCCCATGTGGGTCACGGAGCCTGTATGCGGGACTAGAAAGCCCGGTTTTTCTCTCTCAGAGCAGCTGGTGGTTTTGAACTGCTTACCTTGAGGATCACGGTCCAACTCTTAATCACTGCACCACCAGAGCTCTGTCTGTCAATTCCAGGCCCAGCGACTTTGAGACCTAGGGCAGTTATTCCCCCAGGTTCGGGCTCCGTGTCCCCCTGTGAAGGCGGAGGAACCATCGAGGTGACAAACCCCAAGGGGATTTCTCCCGCAGAGCGGCTGGTAGTTTCAAAGTGCTGACCCAGCAGTTAGCAGCCCGACTCGTGGCCACGCGGCGGCCGGGAGGTCCGGTTTCCCCCGATTGGCGGTCCGTCCTGGGCACCGGCGGCGGGGTGCAAGGCTCGGAGAGCACTCCCCTGGGACGCAGGGACCCCGGCTTCGTCTGCGGGAAAGTGGCTACCCTCCCGAAGGCGGCAGGGTGCGGGGCGACCCCCTGGCTTCGGGCTGCGGGTGCGTGGACCACTCCAGGGGGCTGGGTGCACGCGGGGTCGGCGGAGGGCAGCCGAGGGTCCCCTCGCCCCCATCCCTTCCTCGCCCACATCCCCGCCTCGTCCCGCTCCCTCCCGGGCACCCGCAGGTGAGATGCGCGGCAGCGACCCGCCCGGGGCTCGCCAGGCCCCGGCTGCTCACCTGTGCGGTTCCTCGGGGCGGGCGTGGCGGCCCTGGAGGGTCCCGCGGGCTTCGGTCGCCTGCGGAAGGACGAGCGCATGCTGGGCAGCCCTGGGCGCCCCACAGCGCCCGGCGGGACTGCCCTGCTGCTGCGCGGGGCGGGGCAGAGACCGGCGTTCCGACACGCCCCCAGGGCCCTCGGGGTGGCACCCCCGCGGAGGTCCTGTTGGGCCTTAGGAGCCAGCAGCATCTGAGAGAGATGCCACCTGAGCCCTTTGCACAGGTAGGTTCCCCCGGCCTATCGTCACTAACCTGTCCTTCTCAACTAAAAGGTGGGCTCATCAGAGATGCCTTCCCTCCCCAGTTTGATCGTCCCTGTGGGTTCATGCGCTTAAAAAAAAAAAGAAAAGGATTTGCATTCACTTCCAAGGTGTGTGAATGTGTACAATTCAACTAATGGGCAAAAAGCAAAAGTTCTCCTGCCCCTCCCTGACCCCCAACAGCCCTGACTTTCTCCTGGAAGTCATGGATTTGTGGGAAAACAGACAACAGTTCGTGCGGATGTTCATCTGACTTGCCTGTGTTCGAGATGCTTTATGTAAGCAAAGGCAATTTTGGCCGATTCAGGCCGTGCACTATAGACAACCAGGACTTTAGACTCTGTCCTTTCGAGGTACACAACATCCCTCAGAAGTCACATCAGAAGGATTCCACCTTGCAGCTGCTGCTAAGCGAAGTGGACTTTATATAAAACACCGAAGCAGATTAAAGAAACTGAAAAAGTACCATGTCCCTAATGACGAGATGACTCTTTGCCTTTGTGAAAGAGCATTAATGAAAGTTTGCCCTGTCTCTAATTCTCATTGTAAGTGTAAATAGTGTCCAGTCCCCTAAGTTTTTAATCTAGACAAAAAAAAAAAAAATCCAGTGTGTTGGTCTATAAAACTATCCTAGACATGTATTCTGGCTTGTTCCTGCTGCCAATCATGCTTGTGTGACGTTTTCCTTTGCCCTCCCATGTCTTTTTGAACTCCTTCAATCTCCACAAACCCATGGATGCCATTACGATCTGGTGCGAATGATCTCCCCCATCCAGATGATGTGTCTTTGTCCTATTTAATATATAATAAATGTGCTCCTTAAGTTTTATTTGGGATTTTTGAGAAGCAAGTTTACTTAAAATAGTTGCTTATTTGAATTTGGACAAAGTAATATGCAAAGTTGCTAGCTATGCCCTTAAAGGATTTTTTTAAACCATGACTGGATTTTCAAAATAGTGTTCATCGAAATAGTGCTGTAGTGGTTTCACATTCAGCTGCAATCTGCAAGGTCAGCAGTTCGAAACCACCAGCTGCTTTGCAGGAGAAAGACCGGGCTTTCTACTCCTGTAAAGAGTTACGTTCTCAAACTCACAGGAGCAGTTCTACCCTGTCCGACAGGGTCACTGTGAGTTGACATCGACTTGATAGCAATGATTATATAGAGAGTATTCTACATGTATACTTTCTTTTTCTCGACTGTGTTTTAAATTCTATGCCAATGACTACATTAATGGTAATATCAATAGAACTACTACATGCCCCATGGGGATACTTTATAATGTTCTTCAACAAAATAGTAACTATG